CACTAAAGAATCACAGGCATATTGAAATTAGGAATGAGTTAAGTAAATGAAAGCCAAATGACAAGATAAACAAAGGTAGAGAAAGATCACCCAGGGGATTTGACAAAATAAGAACTGTTTCCAGTACACACAAAGTAAGACACTGGCAAGAGAGACTACAGTCCAAGAAGAGACGGCAAGGACCATTTGCTGTCAGAAACAGTAAACACTGCTGAAAGTTAAACAAATCCTTTGCTTCCATGTCCACAAAGGAAGATGGAAGATGCCAGAAATGGCTGTGCCCTGAAGAAGGGTCAATGAAATAAAATATTACTGAGGGAAATAAAAGTGACACCTGAGTTTGTCTTGAGGTTGACACAAATGCCAGAAGCAGTATTTTCCTACTGCAATCAACGTTAAACAAGGACACTTGGAAACTGGCCATTCTGCATTGTTAAGGGTCTGAGGAAGAAGTGGCAGAGTCCTTCACTTTCGTTCGAATGTAAAAACAGTAATCTGTGGATTAAAGGAGCATATATTTTCTTTGCAGACAACATCAGACAATGAGACCTATTTTGGGGGGTGGGGGGGTGGGGGGGTAGGGAATGCTTAGGAAAAGAAAGCAAACATGTACCTGAATCCTATTTTAAATGACTTCAAGCAAGTCCTAGAATAAGCATGAATTCAGCAGTCCATCTCCTATCCCCTCAACTCACGATGGTTCCAGGGAATACTCAAGTTAGTAAGACTCTGAGGATGTATTCAATCTGTAGCAGACTGCTTGCCATTGATTCAATGAAAAGATTGAAAATTGGTTGCCTAACTCATACAAAAATGCAATTGGCCTCAACATCTGATCTCATGGAATCAAAAATTTTTTAGGGATAGGTGCAGTGGCTCACATCTGTAATCCCAGCTCCTTAGGAAGCCAAGACAGGAGCCAAACCAGCCAGGGCAACATGGTGAAACTCCATCTCTACAAAACACACAAAAAAATTAGCCAGGTGTGAAAATATGTGCCTAGGGTTCCAGCTATTCGGGAGGCAGAGATGGATCAGCTGAGCCTGGGAGATCGAGGCGGCAGTGAGCGGTGATTGTGCCCACTACGCTCCAGCCTGGGTGACTGAGTGAGATTCTCAAAAAGAAAAAAGAAAAGAAAAATGTATAGAGATGCAGTCTTTACTATGCTACCCAGGCTAGCCTTTAAAAAAAAAAAAGTCAATAGCTTTTGGGAATATAAGGGGTTTTTGGTTACATGGGTAATCTGTATAGTGAAGTCTGACATTTTAGTGCACCCTTCACCTGAGTAGTGTACTTTATACCCAATATTCAGTTTTTATCCCTCATGCCCCCCTACTCTCTTCCCTTCTGAGTCTCCAAAGTTCATTATACTCTTCGTGTGCCCACAGGTTCACTTAGAATACTGGCCTCCAGAGCCATCCGAGTTGTGGTAAAAGTCATTATTTCATTCTTTTTTACGGCAGAGTGGCATTCTATGGTGTAGAAATCAAATTTTGAGTCTAATAAATTGATCACATGGCAACTACATGAGGGCTTAACAGCTGATAAGAACAAGAATGCAGGTACTCAGACAAAGCAATGTCTGGGAAACACCAAACTCCTACCGAATGGCCCAAACTCCCCACATTGGAGCAGGGGTATAGCACTTTAGAAAGCATTCCTTGCATACCTGGACTATATCCCTAAAATCACCATTGAGGCTTACGCAAAGCCAGTTCAGGTTCTGCCAGGAGCCGTGGAGCCAAGCAGGCTCAAAGTGCATTACAGGGAAGTGTCTATTTATGTAAAATGAAGTCTAAAGGCAGTAAGTACTAGGCCACAGCAGTTTGCTCCAGCAAACTGTAATTTCCCAATAGCTCTGGCTTCCCATTTCTCACTCCCTGTCTCAGGTAATTTGGAGTCAAATGAACCCCTCTTCCAATCCATCCAAAGAGGTTCTGACTCCAACTTGGGAATCACCACTTTTCAATAATAGACTCAGATCTTTATCCTCTTACCACAATGACTACTAACCACTGTCACCTCTTCTGTACACCCCAATTGCAGAAGGATCCTCTGTTGAGATGGCCCAAAGCATTCTCCAAGGCACTTATGACTTCATACTCTATCGGCTTGTATGACTTCATGTTCCCCTCTTGGGTCATATGCTGATTAATAAGCTCAGAGGCAGAATCTGTGTCCTGTCTGCTTTGGAACATCAAGAGTGCTTGACATAGTAGGTATCTGATAAATACTTGTTAAATTTAAAAAAAAAAAGGGAGAGAATTTTAAAAAGTACAGAACTAGCATAGAAAAAGATGCCCAGTAAGAATTTTTTTTCAAAATGACAAACAGTGTATTACATACTTAATTTGGTTGAGAAATGTTTATTGTAAAAATGGAGTTTATAATGAAAATAAAAAATTATTTCATAACATTCTGATACCACTACACCTGAGTTTGATGCCAGCATGGTTTGAAAGTGAAGCTGATACAAGTTTTGTAAAGGATGTTAAAAAACTATAGTATGAAGAATGTAATAATGTTTTAGAAGACACTAAAACTTAAATATTTAGATGCTGTATATGAGAAATCACACCAACCTCTCTTAATTGGGTTAACATTAGATAACGACATCTCAATTTCCAAGCTTCCAAAAATAGGTAAAAAAAATTATTTTAGTTTGATATTAAAAAGAATAATGCATTGGGAGCAGGAATCCATTCTTTCAGGTTTTAAGAATAATGTTATGACTATTAGATTATCATCAATGACTATAAAGTTAATGTCAAATATCTTCTATTTTCTTGGTGTTTTAACATTCGATTCATTAGATTAACATGCTAGCTTTTCCTGTCTTTTCGTTCTTGCGTAAGTGAATGATTTATTAGACCTGGTGCTCAATTTACGGGCTTTTCTCATTTCAACTTGAAGAAACTGCAAATATTTATAGAAGATGAATCACATGTATTTGTTCCTGAAAAATGTCAGAATACAGCACTCAAATTAAATGCCGAACAGAAGCTATTCCCTAACACTACATACTGTGGCGATTTAATTTCCACTGACATGTTTTCCTAAACAGTTTTTCCCACTATGATTAATCCCCCAATCAAAAATTACTGAAATCTTTCATTAAGTGTGTATTCACGTTACTAAGTTATAGAAATCTAAACAATCATAAAGAATTTACAAATCACACCTCTAACAACATAGTTGAATTGATTCAGTTAAATTACTCTTACATCCTAAAAAATACGTAGGTTACGTTCAAACTGATTTTCCTTGCTTTTATTTTGCTTGCTTGCTACTTTAAGAATGCTGTAACTCCACAGTAAGATCCCAAGTCTAGAAAATTAGAATGCAGAGGAAATGAACCAACAGAGCATACACTCCACAAGGGCAGGGGCCATGGTCAGTTTTACCTGTTAATATATCCCTTCCATCTAACATAGTCACCCTCAAATTTGTGTTGACTCCAATTTAAGGTATCACCATGGGTAGGAGGGCAAAAGAGCAGAAACTCTTCAAGGCAATTTGGCAATACAGGTAAAAGGGCTGACATTTTACATACCCTTTGGCTCCAAGTCTACATCAAAGATTATCCTAAAGAAATAATTATGTATGTGAGCAAGTGCTTGGATTCTAGAATGTTCTAGGTCCTGAGCTTTTTAAAGTAAAACCCAGCTAACAACCCAATATCCTGGATAGGGTGCCTGGAGTGCCTCCCTCATCATGAATACATGCTGAGTGGCTGCCGCATACCAACCAGAGTTCTGCACGCTTCACCCCAGCTCCCAACAAACGTCTTCAACACTCGCAGCTACCTTGTGAGGTAAGAGACCTGCTCCCATTTCTCATCTCATCTGGTTGACAAAAAGTGAGGGCCAGGGAGGTTAAGTAACTCATGAAAAGGAGGAGCCAGGTTTCAATCTGGCTGCCTGATCCTAGAGCCCCAGTAGTGCCTTCAAAACAATGTTGTCCAAAAAATGGATTTCTCGACTCTCCTGATCTTTCACCCATCTCCTTTTTTGATAACCCTCCTAGGGGACCATCATCTAAAATTCTCAAAGGCACACCACCACCAGCTGGCAGGTCTCACTGATTTGGCGGTGCACAAACAGCAAAATCTGTGATAATCTTTAAAATAGAAAAATTACTAAAATATATTTTTCCCAGTGTACTACTATTCTCCTCATTCCTCATTCACAACACTTGCTGTTAGCAGAATTATATTTCATGGTTTGGGAAGACAAATGTGAAGTCCTAAATAATATAAACAAGATGAAGTTTACTTGCGGTGACATGATTCTTTTCATTAAAATTTCTGTGTCCTGTCCGGGAGTGGTGGCTCATGCCTATAATCCCAGCACTTTGGGAGACAGAAGCAGGCGAATCACTTGAGGTCAGGAGATGCAGACCAGCCTGGCCAACATGGTGAAATCCCATCTCTACTAAAAATACAAAAATTAGCCAGGCGTGGTGGCACATGCCTGTAGTCCCAGCTACTCTGGAGGCTGAAGTGGGAGAATCGCTTGAACTCGGAAGGCGGAGGTTGCAGCGAGCTGAGATCACGCCACTACACTCCAGCCCGAGAGACAAAGTGAGACTCTGTCTTTAAAAAAAAAATATCTTGTGTCCCATGGCCTATGAGTACGGAGACTGGTTGACCATCACCTGCAGAAATGAAAAGGCAGAATGACCGGAATTACGCCAGGTGATTCCAGGTCCGGAGACAAGGAATTCCTGGGCAAGTACAGGAAGCATGGACATCTCTTGGGGTGCTCATTTGGGAGCAGCGAAGTATAAAAATCCAAAAAAAAAAAAAAATCACAATAGGTGCCAGGGTCTCTGAGTCAGGAGCTGGGATAAGTAGTTGGGAGAAGTGGATTGAAAGGTGGCACCTGAGAGGCAGCAAAAGTGGTGAAACTTCTGGTCAAGGCTTGTTTTAGCTTTCAGAAATTAAGTATAAGCAAACAAAAGTAAGCTAGAGAAAAAGAGAAAATACATCTAAAATCAAATGAGCAAGCAGTCAAGATTTTGTTTTATTTTATTATGGCTAGAAAGACACTGTTAGAGCCAAAATCGGCAATGACACTAAAGAAATCCTCTGTGCTTTTCAATATGCAAATATATTTCTTCCAAGAGTTGCCCTGGTGTGATTTCAAGAGTTCATGTCAACTTCTTTTCTGGAAACTTCCTTTTCTTAGTTGTTGTATTCTTGAAGAGCCTGGGCCATGAAGAGCTTGCCTAAGTTTTGGGCAGTGAACTCCTTGATGTTCTGGCAGTAAGTGTTTATCTGGCCTGCGCATTTGAGAAAGAGATAGAGCCATAATGTTCCACAAATTGTAAAATGATCCAGAAAGCTAGTCAAACAGAAAAATCAGCATAAAACAGAATCACCTGTATATTGTTTTGAATCCAGAGTTTATTTTTCCATAAGGGATAAGAAATACAAGTTCTCAAACTACTCCTCAAAAGCTTATCAGCCCTAAGGACATAAGAGCTGTCAGTCAAAAGGACTGACTAAGTAGATCAAACCAATGCTGTACAACTGAGAAAACAGAGAAAACAGCATTGACTAGCCTTCACAGATAGAAAGGAGATACTAACAATACATCACAGAGCTGCAAACCAGCCAGACCCACTGGACCCAGATGTGAACAAGTATGGTTAGGTTTTCAGTTTGTGCTTTGAGTATGTTAAGGAGTTTTCCTATGAGTCAAGACAGAGTAAGAGTAGAGAGTTCACTTGAAGAAAGGGCTCCATCATTGCTTTTTATGTCTTTAATGATCGAATCCATCCAACAGTTACATCAGTTACACGCTTCTTCAAAATATAAGGATTTCAATTCTGTTTGAATTGGACCTTTGGGAAGGAATTGTGTCTCATTTCCAAATTTAATTTGTATGTACACTAGAAAATGTTAAGGAATTTGGAATTTCCTCCCACATTACAAACGTATTAGTAGAATTGAGAAACTGCCAATGAGCTTTTGAGTAGGATTTTCACTTTGATAAAATCTTCTCACAGGTTAAGTCTGATTGAATCAAATGGCATTTAGCATTTCTATAAGATTATAGCCAAATAAGGGCATGAATGCCATACATTCAAAATCAAGTCCTAGCACAGGACACAGGACCGCTACTGCTTAAAGGTGCTATTAAACATTAAGTATAACCAGAAAAAGTTCATCCAGAAATATATTCGTGCTGCCACAATTTAAGTCCAAATAAGGGAAATAATTTCCTAAATTCAAGTCAAGTACCAACTGTACAGGGCAGGGCTGGAAGAGGAATAGTAAGAGGCCTGAGCTAAGTGATCTTCTGCATTAAGACTGTAAACAATTTTTCTGGCTTTCCCTGAAAAAGGACTCATTTTACAAAGTTTACAATGCCATCTCAAAAATGTTTAGAAACATGGAGTGAAGCACTGAAAGGATCTGGACAAAATAACAAACTCTTAGAAGTTCTTAGATTTCAGATATTACAGGTGCTAGATTCAAATTCATCCTGCAACTATTTCAAATATACTAGCTTTTATGGCGTGCTTTTCTGTTTGTAAATTTCTCACTGTCTTCTGCTTCCCGAGCAATGAACAAAACCAGCCAGGTTTTGCACGGGGCAACAATACCTGCAATGAGCAGCGAGTCCATCCTGGCAGGGGGCTGTGGCGGTTTGAAGAGTTTGGACAGGTCCTCCTCAGGGAGCGGGGGTTCTCCTCGGCTCTGGCGCTGCATATTCTCCTGCTGGCGACGCTGCTGATACTGAAATTCAAAGGGAAAAGGATTTGGTTATATTTCTCTGAGGAGGAAAAAAAAGACGTCCTTCCGCTACACAACCAACAGAACCCTACTGCTCTGAATTACAACCTCAGTTTTTATCAGCGGCAACACTTGGTAACTTACGTGTAAGAAGTTAAATACGCCAATAGTAGAAGAAAATTCCTTTGCTGAAAACTCTAGTGTCTCGAGTTTTCACTCTGAGCTCTCAGAGTCTATAACTAATGATTCAGAAAACAAAACTAGTTATGTAAGTAACAGGGGGCTTAAAGGGAAAGCTCATGATTAGTAAGGTAAAGGGAGTTTCTTTACCATTTATGACAATGGGGTAATAAATGATTCATCCTAATTTTAATGACTAAGTAATGAACTGGAAATTCTGGAAATTCTTTCACCTTTACTCCTATTGACCTAAAATAACAATATAGACTGCTATGTTCACTACTGTTACAACTTTTTTTTCTTTTTGACAGAGTCTCACTCTGTCACCCAGGCTGGAGGGTAGTGGCACAATCTTGGCTCACTGCAACCTCCGCCTCCCAGGTTCAAGCAATTTTCCTGCCTCAGTCTCCCTAGTAGTTGGGTTTACAGGCGCCCACCACCACACCCGGCTAATTTTTGTATTTTTGGTAGAGATGGGGTTTCACTATGTTGGCTAGGCTGGTCTTGAATTCCTGACTTCATGATCCACCCACCTCAACCTCCCAAAGTGCTGGGATTACAGGCAAGAGCCACCACTCCTGGCCTATAATACGTTACTACTCTTAACAGATAATCGTCTGTACCTTAGCTCCATAGCTAAGGATGGATACTATTAATAGCTCAGATAATGCTTCAAATACTTTCAAACTCTGGATTCCTATGATTCGCTGAAGAGAAAGTAGGGATATATATAAACTTTTACTATAAACTTATAGATCAACTACAATAAGAGCTAATAGCTACGACTGCTCGCAACAGTGAAGCACATAATATCCCATACACAACCTTAAAATGTCAGGTAATGAGAAACCAAGGTGGGCTAGTAAAAATTTAGTCTTTGGATTCCTAAGAAAATCAAGGGAAACAACAATTCTTTCTAGTGAAGGAAAGTAACTTGCTTTGTGAAGATTCCTGTATTCATTATGGGGTAACTCATAGGAAACAAATATTCAATTTGATACCCTGGGTGAGTCCTTCACCTACAGGAAAAACCAGCAGGAAAATGAAATCCAGCTGAGATGATTGTTTTCCTTCTCAGTTTATCAGACATTTGTAACCACTCCCATCTTTTCAGTTAAAAAAAATATATATATATATATACTGATTTACATGTTTTCTCAATTCTAAGCTGGCAGAAACAAAGTACTTTAAATTTCACTATATATTATATATGAACTCTGATATTAAGAAAAAATTAAAATACAACATTCTCAGAATCACTTAGTTGTGCTTAGAATTCTATATTTAACAATGCTCTGTTTAAAGTACATTGTAATGAACAGAGTAGTCATATATAAATACTACTTTCACAGATAAACATTCTGGAATCAACTTATCTATGAATCAAATGCTAAGAACACTTTAGAGCAGTATAGTCCAAATACAATATTCCAGGAACTGTGAAAACCATGTGGCCTGCAGGCAATATGAATAAAGGTTAAATGGCCACAGCCATAGATGTGTGCATATGAGAATATTCGGATAATTCCAGGGTTTTTGTCTGTATTATACTATCTACTTCACAGCAGTTGGTCTATTATTTCCTATCAAAATTGCTTGCTCTTAATCACAATTGCTCAGTTTTTTAAATGAACTGAAGATTGCTAACTATGCCGCAATAAGCCACTGCCATACCAATTATAGTTAGTAAAGAAATGTGCTGTGACATTCTGGAATCTCTTTGCTTCTATTTTCTCAATAAATGTACCTCTTATTTGCACAACCTTGGCATTACAATCTGAGTTTAATATAATAGCTCTTTTTAACACAGGTATGTTTAAGTATAACATGTAAATAACATGTTACGAACATGCCATATAAACAATAATCTTTTAAAAATATAATATAGAGTAACTAGCTAACCGTCAGTGCTTTACCAAAGATAATTTAGGCCATTTTGAACATGACTCTTGAAATACATGAAACTTAGAAATACATGTTTGTTGAATTTTTCCACAATACCAACCTGATGTTTCTGCTGCTGTTGTTTACTAGTATTCCTCATGTATGTATTGTATTTAACTATATCTTGGCTCATTTCATCCACTCTGTCCATCAGCAACTGTAGATTCTTCCCCAAATGATTGCTGAAATGTAAAGTAAACATACTGACAGGTCTTACTTTAAGTTATAGCTTTGCTACTGCTCTAAACAGTTTTAAGATATGAACTTGAACTGGCTTTTGCTAAAAGAATGAGAGCACACATATGCATAAGAGCAAGGGCAGAGGAAAAAATCTGAGTCAACTTGTTACTAAACTTTCCATACCGAACTTCCAACTATAATCTCAGGGATACCTGAAATAGCTGAGTTTCTTATTGAGAGAGCATAGGTATGTGAGGGTAGGAACTGTGAAACATACTTAGTGAGCCATCTATAATACATATTTCTTACACCAAGTTCAGTATTCCCAAACTCTTTTCATTAACTTACCCCTGCCCAAATGCATTCCATAACATTTAAATCAGTAGTCACAGGAAAGAACCATACAGATTATGACATCTGGCACATGATTTCTCTATCTAGAAGGTTTTAAATGAGCAATGGCAAGCTTTATTCTACAAAACCTGATGAACAGGCTCCTTTCCTCTTACCTTTCCCAGAATCTGTAGTACAGTCTTTCATATTTCTTATTCTCTCCAGAAATTTCTATTGCAGCTCAGTTACCAACATCACTTTATAAAGTGATGTAATGATTGACACAATGACCAGCATATTCATTGATTTCTGCCTGCAACTTACCTCCTACCATGGTAATGCCTGGACAGCTACTATATTTTTAAAATAGCGAGCTTCTAAAGAGTAGTGCCCATTCATTAACTGCCAAGAGATATTTACTAAACTCCTATTATGTGCCAGCCTTAGTACTAGAAAACAGGGAGACAACAGTGAATAAGACATACATTACATGTTCTGTATCTTCATTCATCTTATAACTGATTAGGGATGGAGGAGAAAGAGAAGGGGGAGGTGAAGAGACACTTACTTTAGATAGCACAATCAGAATATCTCTTTGAGGAGATGACAGACTGAAAGTGAAAGATGAGCCAGCTATGCCAAAAATATTCTAAGCAAAAGAAAGTACAAGTCCTGAATGCCTGAGATGAGCAAGAATTAGGCAGATTTGATAAAAAGAAGAGGCCTGGCATGGCTAGAGCACAGTGATTGGGTCAGGAAGACCAGACAAGCACATGTGGGAAGCTCATTAGCACCATACAGCTCCCCAGCAATGTAGTTTGTTGTGAATGAGACCTCACAACTGCAATGTTAATGATACCCTGGAGTTGCACATGTTTATGACACATTTTGCCTAAATTTTAAAATGATCATTTTGCTGCTATGCAAATAGACTGGAGAGGAGAAACCAGGAGGTTAGTTAAAAGTCTACTGTAGGGTGTTGGCGAGGATGTGGAAAAATGAAAACACTCATACATTGGGGTGGGAAGGTAAAGTGATACAGCTACTGTGGAAAACAGTTTGGTGGTTCCTCAAAAAGCTAAACCAAATTACCAAATAACCCAGCAATTCCACTCTTACGAATATACCCTATGAATATGTATATACCCTAGGGAATTAAAAATATATACTCACACAAAAACTTATACATGTATGTTAATAGCTACATTATTCTTAATAGTCAAAACTAGAAACAATGTAAAATTCCATCGAATGATGAATATTATACATCCATACAGTAGAATGTTATTTGGCCTTAAAAATGAATAAAGTACTGATACACCCCACAATATGGATGAACCTTGAAAACATCTGCTATGGGAAAGAAGGTAGACAAAATTTTTTTTTTTGGAGACAGTTTCACTCATCATCCAGGCTGGAGTGCAGCGGGGCGACCTTCACCTCCCAGGCTCAAGCAATTCTTGTGCCTCAGCCTCTCGAGTAGCTGGGACTACAGGTATGTGCCACCACACCTGGCTAGATTTTTTCTATTTTCAATAGAGATGGGGTTTCGCCAGGAACTCCTGACCGCAAGAGATCCTCCCACCTCGGCTTCCCGAAGTGCTGGGATTACAGACATGAGCCACTGCTCCTGGCCAGGACTCTGTTTTATAAAATATACAGAATTGGCAAATCTGTAGAGATAGAAAGTGACTACAGGCTGCCAGGACTTAGGGGAATGGGAATGACAGCTTAATGGGTTTGGGTTCCTGTTCAGGGTGATGAGAATGTTCTAGAGCTAGTAATGGTTGAACAACATTGTGAATATACTAAAAACGACTAAAGTGTACGTTTGAAAAGGGTTTAAATGGTCAATTTTTTCTCTATTTTAAAAACTGCACCTCTGGCAAACAATCTATCGTGATATTACAGAGAGAAACTGTGGTGACTTGAACTAGGATGGTGGCAGTGAGCATAGAGAAAAGTGAGCAGAACTGAGAGAGATTCTGGAGGCAGAGCAGGCAATCTTTATTTGCTAGGGGGCACAAGAGAGGAATGGAGGGTGACTCCCAGTCTTCTGGCAGCTGGTTATTACATTTACCGAGAAGGATAAAGGGCTGGGATTACAGGCGTGAGCCACCGCGCCCGGCCGTAAATTTACCTTTTAATCCCAGCCTGGCACTACCTAGATAACTTTCGTCCAGTAAATGGTCTGATGACTTCACCTGTTGAGGAATCAAGTGCTTCTTTCTTATTTATTTTATTGTGTTGTAATTTTTAAAATCACTTTTAACTTCAAAACAATTCTTCTCTGGATACAGTGTATTTGCTTCTGTTTTACCCTAATTTCTAAATAGTTGATTTAAATTCACTCAGACTTAAGTATTTGAATTGGGCAAGGCTGGGGAAAAGAGAGGCAGACAGCGGTCAAAGTGCAATGACTTAAAAACATACTACAAGTCTGGAATCTATCTTCAGGACAGTGGGAAACCAGCTAAAGATTTTAAGCAAAGGAGTAACATGAGCATCTAATTTGCATTTAGCAAGATCATTACAATTTTGAAAGAGGAAAAGGTCAAGAACATGAAGTCAGGAAACTGTGAAAGTAATGAGGAAGAGAAATAAGGTCCTAGACTAAGGCGTTAAAAGTCACAGGAGTAAGACAAAATCGTCCCATGAGTACATGTGTGAGAAGACAGACCCTGAGGGACACGGACAGAGATGAGCGGAGGGTTCACTGTGGAAAATGAGGGGAAACCCAGAAGAGCTATAGTTTCACAGGCTCCTAGGAAAGGATCTCAGGAAGAAGGCCTTATCAACATATTACGTGCTGAAGAGTCTAAACTACTCAGTGATGTAGTGACATCAAAGTCTTTTGTGACTTTGGAGGGAGGTCTTACTACATACAATGGGTGGAACACTACAAACTGTTGTCAATCACTGGGAAATCAGTGGGAAATGAGGAAACAGTGACATCAAAATTCTATCGAGAAGTTTGATTATGAAACAAATAGAAAAATTCAGCAGAAGACAAAAGGAGATGGACACTAATGGCATGAGATCAAAAAGTATTCTTTTCATAAGTTTTCTTTTGAGATGGGGGACATAAACAAGTTTAAATGTCTTTGTTTTTAGGAGATGCATGCTGAAGTATTTAGGGGTTAAAAGTCATGTCTACAATTTACTTTCAGGTGGTTCAGAAAGAAAAAGTGGTGTTTATGTATGTAGATAGAGTGCAAATGTGGCATCATATACAATTGGTGAATCTAAATGAAAGGTTTATGGATGGATGTTCACAGTGTTTTTCTTTCAAATTGTCTAAAGAGTTGAAAATTTAAAAATAAATTTTTAATTGGAAAAACAAGCCTATAAAGATTTAAAAAAAAAAAAAAACTAAGAAACTGAAAATCTATGAAGAAGGAAGGAGTACATCAATCTAATGAGGTCCTGAGAACGCAAGAAGACGGGGGGCACCGGCTTCAGATTTCTGATCCTTTCATTTTTACCAATGCGGAACGTGAAGCCCAAAGGGCTATGTTAAGTATAAGAAATGTCATTAGCTACGTGATTAGTTGTTAAGTCATTTATGTCATTAATTGCAAAAGGAAATCAAAGAAAGAAAAGATCGTCACCAATGCTGTGGCTGGGAGGTTAAGGGGAAAGCAGTGACAGTAGGGAAAAAATAACAGCACAGGAGAGGTACTGTCATATGCAGAGAAAAATCTATTATTTATACCCAGACCTTAACTCTTGGAGGTTGTTTACAGTAATGAGAAAAGCACTACTAAAACAGACCCACTGTTTCTACCAGAAAAGTCTTTAATATAAAGTACTAATACTATCTGCTGCAAGTATATGAAGTTATTGTGAAAGAACACTGCCACAAGCACAAATATGTGGACTTTATGTATTTCATAACTTTTATATTATGATAATGCTCTTTGGAAAAAACAAATCAGAAACACACACACACACACACACACACAAATCTGTGTACTACAGGCCTTAAAGTGGCATCAGAAATTAACACTGACAGAAAATCAGACCACTACCAAGACCAACTTTGTGAGAATCTTTTCAGTACCAGTTTAACTAGGATGCTGAAACAGGGACTTACTGTTAGGAGTTTCAGTAACATTGCCTTTTCTTTTATTGCCAAGCAAATAAAGAACTGAAAACAGATAACTTAAACAGATGTGAACCAGCACATGAAGTGTTAAGTCTGCTCTGGCTACAGTATCAATTTATGCTTATAATCCTTAATGTACGATGCCCACCCTTAGTTTACTTTTTTTAAAAGAGGAAATAAAAACAGAATTGTTTTATATGTGTGAAAAGCTGAACGCCTGTGTTACACATTTTTAAAAACTAATAAAGGCTGTCATGGAATAACTATTGTTAGAACTTCCACCTAATAAAATGAAAATCAAAAATTAGAATTTTTCAACAAAAGCAAATGCAGTATGTTTTAGTTGTCACATAGAACAAATTTATCAGTCACATCAAAGAAACCAGTGCCCATGTATAGGCTCTGAAAGGAAAGACCAAGTTTAAGCACCTGCATAAGAAAGATTTCTGATGAGGTTTCTTATAAAAACTTTAATGGCAACTGGCCTGAGCCATCATCACACAACTACTGTTAGAAATTAAAAACTGAGATGTACAAAACATATCTTTCTGTCTTCTAAAATACTATAATCGATTTGGTTCAATGTAAGAGTCTAGTAGCAAAAACGCACTGCTTCAAGGTTGCTTCATTCTTCTTCCTCCTAACAGAACACGAATTTACACTTTCAATAATTTCATATGGAAAGCAAAGAAATGGGGCCTCTTTTCCTCGTTTACATAAAAATACAGAAGACAAAAACTATAATAAAATATTTGTCTAGGTCTCAGTTGCTAGGGCAAACTCAGAACATTTTCTTGGTTATTATAAATGCTGCTTTGGACAAACGGACATTACAGACCAGCTCATTGGTAAAGTTAAAGCACCATCAGGGATGTATTTCTTTTGTATGCTCAATAAAGGAAGCCTGGGAAAAGGTGAAGACATGAATTATGTAAGCAAAAGCTTTCATGCAGTAAATTTAAAATTATTATATAACTATATACTTAATACATCAAATTATAACCTTGTATGCTGAAAAAGGTTCTTAGCTAAACGCTTTAAATACAGGTGTGCCGAGTGTGTTTGTAAAAACAATAAAGAAAAATATGACCTTCTAAAATAGACAAATTAAAGGACTATTATGAATATATGTTTGCAGTCAAACAGTATACTCTTCGGTGCCAAATTAGCCTTGCAACCTGGCTGTGTTACTCAGCATTCCATTTACATTCATCGTCCATCTCCCTGCCCTGTTAAGACTTTCTTGTGGCCTTTTGATCAATTAATGCAATGGAAGGTGGCGCTTCACCCACAGTCCTACCCATGCCAGAGCATGAAGAAGAACACTGATGTCTCTGGCCCTTCTGGGTTCATCCCACTTGCCTTATCTCGAGGAAGTACAACGTCTGTACACTTTTTTTTTTTTTAACAAGTCTCTAAGATAACTAGAAATCTGATAAATAATTTAGTCTGCTCCAAACTGGTTGCTTAAGAAAACACACCTTGTTTCTTTCAGCCAACAAGCATATATTGATTCGTTACCTACTCTGACCATTTAATTTCATTCCACAGGTCTGCTGCTAGCCTCCTTCCACCACAGACAAAATAATCACTAACATAACGCTCAAAGGGCATTTAAGAGGAGCTATACATGTGGCTCTATTCACATTTCTGTTAACAGTAATAGATGAAGGGGGAAATAAACATTAATTTCACAAAGGGAACAATACTTCCTTTTGGAAACCTCAGTCTGCATTTTACAAATATAATAAACATTATCTCAGCAACTAGAGAGCTAAGGCAGTTATGCTGGAGGAAATCGTATCACCAACTAAAATAGCTGAAGCCAGTATAAGGTTCAGAAAATTCAAATTTTAGTTGAAAACTCAAACAACTGGAACTTTACAACTGCAAGAGTCTGCATCTGAACAAGGGCAAGTACAGCCAGTAAAAGAAAAACGCATTTCTGTTCTTTTCCTGAGCATTATTAAACATCCAGACATAATACCCTAAGCCTCTTAGGATCGTGTACAAGAAATAAAGCTGAGCCATATAAAAAAGCCCTCCCTCATGGGCACTGACCTTATCAAAGCACAAATGATACAGCAAAGAAGGCAGCAGAGGGTTCTTCTAATATGAGCAATTGGTATTCAAACAATGTGTCGTTTCATATGATCAGTTTGGCGTTTTTCCCTGAGATCCTAACAAGGCCACACTATTACTCCATGTTATACAGGTTTTAAGAACCTATAAATGTTCTTAAGTAATTGTTTTCTTGTTTCACAAGTAAAGTTTATGTGAAAGAATCTTTTGCAGAAAGTTCTAAAAAATGGGACTTTTGATTAGGCAGGGCCACTTACCTGCTGGCAAGGCTGAGCAACTCATGTTTATCTGCAACAGCTGACTTCTTTTCAAGTTCCCACATTAGGACATTGATCAGATGTGAATTTTTAATTACAATCGGCACTTCTTCAAACATGTACTCAAAGGTGATATTTGCTTTTTTCAAACTGTGAAGCATGTTAAAAATACTTTAGTCTGATGGTCAAAAGTAGGTGCTAAATTGACTATTTCATAAAATTTACCTAATTATAGGCCCTATCCAAGATCTTTGTTTCATTAACACTCTTTAAAAAAAAAAGTAGAGAAACTAGAGTTTTACAGAGTCAAACATAAGTTAGGTCATTTGAGTAACTTTGAAAATGATCTGAATTTGAGCTAAAGCCCAGAAAATAAGATTCTTGGCAGAAGAAACTACTCATTCCTTGTAATCAGGTATCTTTAAAATTTCACTGATACTAAAATGTAAATGTCACAGTAAGTTATGCTACACAACCTACATCTACAACTTAATTTAAAATAGCTAGAAATGAGAAATACTCTATTTCTTGAAAAGTTCATTTTAAAAGCCTCTTCAATTAAGAGTTTAACAAGTAGCAGAACACTCAAGGAGACTCCAGATACAATAGTTAGAACACGCCAAGAACACAGTTTCTCATAGTTTAGTTATAGCTACCACATCCAGGAATTGTCCATGAGGATTTTTCTTTTAAAATTCTCTGTACCTTAACTTTTTAGGAGCCAAATGGGAAACTAGAGATGAACTGTCCTGCATGAAGTCAAAGCCATTAATTTTGATTCAACAGGAACTAAAAATTTCTATAATTAACAGAAAATGGAAGAATTCTAAGTATTTAATTGATTTAAAGTAAATATTACAATGCCATTGAATAGGATCCCAAAACAGCTCCATCCATTAATTCTCTGCATACCTGTCACCCATAAAATTGCCAATAAGCCACATTCTTTAACAAATTCTTAAAATATTTATATCTTTCCCACCCCCTCATTAAACAAGGGTTCGGAAAATAAGACACACAGCTCACAACCAGTCTGACACAGAGCTTACAATCGGACAGCCACTGATCACTCTTTCCACCTCCCTTTATTCAATCATTTATTTCTTCGAATCCAGTAGCTAATTAATTCCCATTCTAACTGAATTCACCCTTGCTGAGAACAACAGATGAGACATTCCCTAAAGAATAATTTAAACACGGAAAGGGATAGAGCAAGCAGCACTTGGCATGCAGAAAACTTCTACAGTCCACATGGCAAAAGCATTACTGCACCACAACCGAGGATGCAAGAGACGTGGCAAAGAAAAATCTTAACAGAAAAATACCCAACCCTTTACCAGATGCCCCCAAACACTTACGCTTCAGGGGAAAAATCCTTTTCTTTACAAACTTCCATCAGTTTAGGAGTCAGTCTGTAAGCCTTTAGTGAGAGAGACCCTTGGGCAGTTTTTATGGGATCTCAAACAAGGAAAGAGAAACAAATTACTAAGAATTTTGTCACTACCATGCTTGAAGAGCATTGGTTCTAGGCACATTCTGTTGCATATCACACAATCTTTGCAAAATAAAGATCAAAATAAACAACCAGAACACAATTTGAAGCCGACTCAAACCACTATATAGCAAGTAGCACTCGAAAATGCAGGAATACCTCTATCTATGCTACTTATGATAATTTCCTCTGTCAAAAACTAAACATACAAGAGTTATTTTCAAATTCATTCCTCAGCAAGAATCAGTAATCTTGCTGAAAATTAAATGTATCATATGTTCTACACATCTTGTATAATTAGGAAATCACTGATAAATATTAAACATGAAAATCCACTGCATATACTTGGGTAGCTCTTCATTCAACTTAAAATGAATAGCCCTGCACACAAAATGTATCCATCCTAATAATCACTGTTCACATTTCTTCGTTAAAACAGATTGTAAAAACCATTCAAGTCAAACTGCTATCACAGAAGTGTCTTTTTGGAGAAACTAATTTTGTCAAAACTAACCGCTGAAACACTCCATGCGTAAGGGAGCTTAGCACTTGCTGCATGATAACAGCTCTGGCATGCCAATATTCGCCTAAAACCTGTGTTAACATTCATGTTGTCTGAAACTTAACACAGTGAAACTTTTTGCAATAGGTGATAAAATGAAAACCAAAATAGATTGAAACAAGTGGAAAATTCATCAAGGTCTGATGATGCAATGTTTCCAGCCAATATAAGTACACTTTAACAACTTGTTCTTTACTGTAATCCAATTGTTAACATACTGAAACAATTTTGGGGCAGCTCATAAGATTGATCGTATTCATTAGTATTTTTTCTGACAGATACTCAGGACGTTACATTTACTTCTCAGCTGGAAACTATATGCAAGTCTGCCAGATATGGCAAACTGTGAGTGTTTGGGGAGGGGGAAGGCTATAAAGCTGTTAAATTGCCTACAGTTCTGATACAGCACAGAACATCTGGTCTGGAGAGCTTGAGGAAACACCATTAAATAGGCCGAAAAGAAAAAAATCTTTGTGCTAAGAAACAGTCCAGGTTTTGTACACTGTTGTCAGAGGTATAAAAAAAACTTGGCACACTGTATTATGATTGGTCAGTCACGTACAGAGCCAGACACTCTAGCAATCGGGGTTTGTTAAGACATCTGGTCTAGTTCCACCAGCCCCTTCAATGAGGGAGGGGAGATGGAGGAATAAAAATGAAGCAGCTACTCCAGCATTCCAAAATGTACACATCAGGGCTCTGATAGCAAGAAAAATAAACAGAAAGAAGGAAACCCTGTCTAGACTGAGCTGCTGCTGAGGCTGCTGCAGAAACAGGGTTGGTATTTACTTGAGAAGGCCTGCCAGACTGCTCATAGAGGCAAAAAAGACAGAAAGCAAAAATAGTAGTAATAATATTAAGGGAAAAAAAGAATAATAAACCTCCTACTAACCATAAATGAGAACGACAGATTCTTCAATGGCATGCTGGTAACTGAACTGAGAGTCCAGGAGCGCCCGGGTAACGAATGAGCCATAGTATGTGGACTGGTACCAGCCCACATGAAGATGATCAATGTTTACATGGCGAAGGCTCCGCATCATTTCCATCTGATATTGGACTGGATGATGGGGAAGAGGAAATTAAAAGAAAAAACTTTTTAATGATGTTACTAACATTAAAAACAAGCCTTTTTGGAAACAAATGTCTACATAACAATTTATTAGCATTAGGGAACAGGAGTCCAGATTTAAAATTCATTCAATTCATATATAAAGCAAAACAAAATTAGGCTTTTAAATAATCGGGTTTCCTTTTATTCTTTAACGAAAAAATATTTTGCAGAAAATGTATAACACACAATATTAATGCCTTGTTGTAACAAAAGAATTATTAAATGTGGCTTCTACTCCCCTTTTTGAAACTCTCAAAATAGTAAATGTTTAAGAAAAATTTGTATAATTACTAAATTGGTTGGTTGTAAGAAGTTTCATTTGAATAAAAGAGGAAGAGTTATTAATCTCTTGTTCAACACAGCTTTTAGAGCTGAAAAACTAAAACCATTAGGAAAACTAAGGGGAAACAATTAACTACCAACCACACTGCTTATATATGAAGAGGATACAGGCTGCAGCTGATTCAAAATACAAGAATACATTTTTGCCTTCATCTGGTGCCCCCTGCTGCATATGCTAAATTTTTTAAAGAATTATTTTTTCTTGTTTGTGTGTTCCTTTGTTAAGTAACAGACACTATTTTTTCCTTAGAATAAAGTTATATTTTAATGACCATGTATAGAATGAAAAGCTTTAGTGACTTTTACTTTTTGTCAAATTAATGACTACAATGTATAATGACTATAATGTATACTATATTAAAGCAGCATTACCAGAAAAACAGATTAAAACAATATAATAAATGACATTTTAAAAAGCAATATAGCACAATAATGCACAACAAATATATAATACAGGAGAAAGCTTTATAGTCAACATAATAGCCATGCTACTTCTATTATTATTATTAATTATTATTAATAATTAATATTATTATTATTATTTATTATGTTTCTAATTATTATTAATTATTAATGAGACAGGGTTTCACTCCCGTTGCCCAGGCTGGAGTACAATGGCATGATCTTGGCTTACTGCTGCCTCCGCCTCCCGGACTCAAGTGATTCTTTTGACTTAGCCTCCCAAGTAGTTGGAGCCTCCCGGACTCAAGTGATTCTTTTGACTTAGCCTCCCAAGTAGCTGGAACTACAGGTGGGTACCACCACACCCAGCTAATTTTTGTATTGTATTTTTGTAGAGATGGGGTTTCACCACGTTGCCCAGCCTGGTCTCAAACTCCTGGGATCAAAGAATCCACCCACCTCCGCCTCCCAAAGTGTTGGGATTATAGGCATGAGCCACTGGATTCGGCCTCAAACTCTTTCTATTATAATGAACACATGACCATGCTGAGTAAATGTATTTGCTTAACTTGAAACCTGTTTCATTTTCAAAATTCTTACTCAAGTTTTAGCAAAAGTAAAGTTATACATCTGTCATTCTTTTGGTTAGAGCACTATAGTTTTACAAAGCCAACAAGACTCAGGATCATAAAGTATAAAAGAGTGTTCCTCAGATGGACACAGTCTGATTTTTCATTACTTGTAGGGGAAGAAGTTATAAATCTGCTTATCCCAAGGAAGGTTACAGTTCTCCTGCTAAAAGATGGCAGTCAACTCATCAACTGCTCAAGAATTGTGTGTTTTTTGAGGTTTTTTTTTTTTTTTGCTATGTAGAAAAGCTAAAAAAAAAAAAAAAAGTTATTTTGCCACTATCTGAAGAGACTTTCTTAAGCCTATGGCAATGTTGCAATAGAGCTGGAAGCTGCACTATTGTCAAGATACACACAGTTTAAGTGCCTGTTTTGAAAGTGGGCTCATTCATTCATAAAAAAGAAAAACCAGTGTTAATATAGAGGAAGTTAGGCTACCAAGAGTATGGGGGAGAAGGTGATACTAATACACCAGACACTCTATATACTAAGCCAGTGTTTCTGTATATTTATGAATAAAATACAAAAACAAAGTCATATAATCTATGCTATACTCTAAACCACCATTTCTACCTTAGAAATCTATTTTATACATAATATGATAGCTTGAAAAAGAACTATGAAATATGATAATCTTACACCAATTATTTTTTATCTTCATATTTTATTTCTCTAGCATGTGAGAGGAACCTCACCCCGCCCCCCCAGCTAGTTTAACAGATTCACATCAACCACATAAATTTGGCAAGTGGGACAGAATCATTGCTATGATCTCCTTCTGTTTTGAAATTCCATAATTCTTTTAAATCAGAGTAAAATCACTGATTTGGCTAATAAATTTTAATTAAATATAATTTACGAGTGAAAAGTCCCAGTTTATTATAAGTAAAATGGGAGCTGAAACTAAATTTGCTATTTATTTTAAAGGGAAAGGGAAGAGGAGAGATTATTAAGCAACTGACAGAACAAGTAAGATTTTAAAAAATCTTTTTTTTAAATCAATACTTACGAAACATATTAGTATTCAATTTAGCTACAACATAAGCAGAGGTTAGAGTCTGCCAACGTGTAATAGCAGAAAAGAAAGACTTGGAATATAGAGGTTGAGGTTCTCATGCCAGCTCTGAGATTTCCCCTGTGAGGATCTTGCTGTACAGTTAACAATTCTTCTCTGATATTTAATTTTCCCATCTCCAAAGAGATCTGAGAACCCAATCCCAGTCAAAACGCTATTATTCCACATTGTTCATTGGATATACTAATTATAAATAAAGAATTTTATATTAGCTAGAGGGGCTTCCAGCATGTATTATGATTTAAAATAAAAATACATTCCTCTGAAAAATATTCTATAATCTTGCTAAGTCTCTCCTCAAACAGCTTGAATACAAGAAATTCTCTAACGGCATTTCAGGATACATGAGGTAAAATCTCCAAGATTAGTAGCAAACTTCCAAATTTCTTCTTTATCCACAGTCTTACCTATTCTGCAGCACCTCTGATAAGGATAAGAATGAAAATGAAGTGTTCCCCTAAACTAGGGAAGAAAGTCAAGAAAACCTATAGCCATGTGGAGATACCACTGCTCCAACATATTTCTGGGGACTGAGGAGTAAAGAGAGATCAGCTTCTTTATTAGGAGGAATGAGGTGAGCATTTCCATTTCCTCTTCCATGGTTTAGAATATGACAAAACATTTTGCAAGATTTTGGACACATTTATAAGTCGTTAAGAGTTTTTCATATCACCTAAATATCAGAATAAAGGGGCTAAGAGCAACGATTGGTCAATTAAGAAAATCACTTCAAAAATTGTACAATGTACTAGAATTTCACTAATAAACAATGTATGTGTTGGCCTAATCTACGTAAAGTGCCAGGAGATTCTTTATCTTGGTTTGGACTTACCACTCCAGTTTTAAAATTAAAACAAAACTTTTTTTTTAAGTGCCCTCTCAGAGGCATTATATAAAGAAAGGACCTAAACAGTCCGCAAGTGAGTCTTAAAAAGGTGGGGCTGCGGATGCTAGAGCTCCGAAATGAACCACAGTGCACACAGGCCCAGTTCTCACCATGACTGCTCACATGAAGCGCCAAAAAATACAATGTTTAAAGAAAAGAGCTCACTTTGATTTAATAAGGTAAAAAATTATAATACTGTTTCTGTTTATTATAAGTCAAGGAACAAGAGACACAACTCACAAACAGCCATGTGAACTGCGTTATCTCTGTAGACTTTCAGGTCTGTGTCCCCATTCTTTGAATCCCATCTCCCTTCACCCCCAGTTTCTCCTCCTCTTCCCATTCAAATTTTCAAAAAGTAGAAAGCCAACTCCTGCAAAAGCTTCCTGGTAAACCTAAGTAGGGATACTAAATGAACAGCAACTGTCCCAGTGACCTGTGTCAAAACCATGCTCCTGGCAGGCACCATCAATGGAGCTAAGCTGCCACACCAGCTGACATGTATTTACCCCTCTGGACTATGGTAGGGACAAGGGAACAATTGTGAAATGATGACATGCCGGTTAAGTTTTACACAGGAAGTAAGAAATGGTCGTTCCAGATTCCAATCTCCTGGATGAACACCCTTGCTTTTGCGGCTATGCTAGTTTCTCTCAGGAGTTACACTGGGTGGGTATGTGAGGTGAGCACAAGAGACCCAGTTTGGCTACAAAACAGATAAAACAAGGGAGGGGAGAAGCCTCTGCCTACCTGGAATTGTCTTGTGATGATGATGCCATGTCACAGCCCACAGGCACTGGTGACTGTGAGGTAATGCTCTTTGCCTCTTCATATGCAGGCAGTCCTCACATTTCTGGCTGATTTTAAAAGGAGGGTATTTCACTCCTGAGAAATAAGGCTCAGGAGTGGCTCACACCTCAGAAGGAAGAGAATCATGTCCAAAGAAACAAAAGGAAAAAGGAGGAGGAAAAGAAAAAAAGGCTCCTTGACTCGAAGTGCCAGTTGCCTACTGCTGTGTTAATGCAGACCAATGAAGAAACAGGCACTGATTGGCAAATTTGCAGAGTTGGTCCAGGGTTAGACAAGCTTCAATTTTTGTTCTAAAGTTCTCATATTTAATGGAAGTCAAAAGAGCAATTTCAACCAATGACATTCTCTTCTGAGTTAATGTCTAAATATTCCTGGAGAAATTTTCCAAAGATGAATGGCAAGAGGATAATCCTTTAGGGAGGGAGAACTATTTTAAAATTCATAATGTTTAAGAGAAGGACTTCGTAGAAAATAACCTTTTAGGCATTCTTAGTACAAAAAAGCAAACATCCCCACTAAGGAAAAGTAGTATGCAACACATAAATTTCAAAGACAAACTGGTCGGCTGGGCCGTGGCTCACGCCTGTAATCCCAGCACTTTGGGAGGCCGAGGCAGGTGGATTACTTGAGGTCAGGAGTTTGAGACCAGCCTGGCCAACATGGTGAAAACCCATCTCTACTAAAAATACAAAAATTAGCTGGGCATGGTGGCAGGCGCTTGTTAATTCCAGCTACTTGAGAGGCTGAAGTGGGAGAATTGTTTGAGCCCAGAAGGCAGACGTTGCAGTGAGCCAAGATCACG